TTCACAAAGTTCACAATTTTGTGCTTAATTTGAAATATGTTGTTTATTTATTGTTACTGAGATTTAAGAACCAGTGTGAGAAGTTTGGACCGCAGTTCCCCTTTAATAGCAAATCTCTGCTGGAGCTGAGATACAAAAAGGGGGGCAGAATTCCACAAGAATAACAACAGATGATAAAGATACCAAACATTTCTCAGGCTCTCTGCAATAGCAGAGGCCATCGCTGTATTAAAACAGGCAAGATCTTTGCAAGTTATAACTGACAATTAAAAAAACACCCCTATAGCGGAGAACAGCTCTGTTGTGATGGTTTTGCCTGTGAAGTTTGTGGAGTCTGTGAGGGTTGAGCTATGTGTGGTCAGAATGTAACGAATAAAGCCTGAAGCAGCCAAAGGTACAGCTTTCTTATGAGGACTGACATTGTACTTATGCACTGCATAAGAGGCGTGCATTCCTGTGCACCTGAACCTAAGGGGTGCGGGCTCAAACCCTGGCTGTGATTGACAGAAATTGCTTCCTTCCACAGCAGAACAGCACCACAGCGCACTGGCCGGCACTTGTTGAGAGAAAGAGTCGGTGCAGTGTGAGAGAGGATGTGCAGAATGTAGCCTCTGGGGATTTCCCTGCTCTGCTTCAGGCTGCTTCACTCTGGTGATCTTTTATCAGACACCGCTTTTTTTCTGCGCCTAGTGGTACATTTTCTGCAGGCCCTGGGCTGCGGATCGCACTGCAAACCTCTGTTGGGACCAGAGCTGATAATGCAGACGGTTCAAGAACAGGTGCACTAAAGACAGAACACGGTGCTAACTGCTGGCTACTGCATCTCAGTCTCCTCTAAGGAGGCATGATATCAAAAAGGTGGTGGCAGGGTTACAGTAAACATAAGCCAGTTTTAAGACCAATGAGCTTGAGTGAAAATAAAAAAAAAAGTGCAATATCTGTGCATGGGTTGGACATTTGTATAACTTCTGATGTAGGCCCCTCTGTGCTGTCTTACTGCGAGATGCTTTGTGGCGATATTGACCATAAGATAAGACCCCTTTTGAACACAAATATGCTGATCAATGAACAATTAATTGTGTTGACCGATTCATGTTCCAGAGGTTAAAATTGCCCCGGAGACAGCTGGCAGCTCTGGTGTCTGGCAATAATGAGTCACTGCAACAGTAATTAAAATTAGTGTAAAACTCAGGTCAGGAGTGATGCTCTCTGCGAGGTGGAGACCGAGGGCTGCAATACCTTTCCAGGGAGCTCGGTCAATCTCTCCCACACAATCAAGTGAAAAGCAACTGCAGATCATAGGGTTGATATTCCCTCTTCAAAAAAAACATGCTCCCTGACCTCATTCCATCTCTGTTAGGAGCCTATGGTACTGTGGAGGTTGCGTGCACTGACAGGCTGGAGGAACTGAACTTTGAAGAGAAGAATGAGAGGAGTCCTAAAACAAGTTCTCGGAGTCTCAAAGGCGTTGGCAAGCTCAACCCAGCAGACTTCTTCCGAGTCAGTGAAACACAAACCAGAGGACACAAGGGCAAAACTTCCACTATTTGGAAGTGCATGAAAACTGTTAACAGGAGGCACTTGTTTATACATAACAATGTTGTGTGTAAATACCCAGCAATGCTGTAGAGCCCAGTTTTGGCTTCTTTGAAGAAATGGCTGGATAAAATCTTCAGATTAATTAGTTACTAAGGAACAAGTAATAGGTTTATTCCATGCTAAAAAAAAAGGAAGAAAGAAAGAAAACACAATGTTTCACACATGAAGAAGGCTCCATGACTGAAACGTTGTGTTCTCTTTCTTCTGATTTGCAGCCATTCTTATTGTGTTCTAATAGTGTGATCAGATCAGGCAGAGCACGAGTGCCTGCATTTAGCACAAGTACAGACTTTGCACTGAAGCTGAGAAGTGGTATGAAGATCAGTGCTCTGCAGTCTTACAGTGGATATAAAAGGTCTACACAGCCTTATTGAAATTGCAGGTTTTTGTGATGTAAAGCCAGAAATCAAGCTAAATTATGTCAGACATTTTTCCATCTTTAATGTGACCTTGCAACCAACATAATTCAAGAGAAAAACAAATAGATAATAATTAGGAAAAATAATTTAAATTAAAAAACCTACAACACCCTGGTTGCATAAGTGTGTACACCCCCGCAACTAATAATTTGTGGAAGCACCTTTTGCATTTATTACAGCAGTAAGTCTTTGTGAATAACTCTCTATCAACTTTGCACACCTGGACGTTGCAATTTTATCCCACTCTTCCTTGCAAAAAAGTTCAAGCTCCTTCATATTGCCAGGGGATCTCCTGTGCACAGCCCTCTTTAGGTCATTCCACAGGTTTTCTATGGGATTGAGGTCTGGGCTCTGACTGGGCCATTCCAAGACTTAGATCTTCCTTTTCTGAAGCCATTCCTTGGTTGACTTGGATGTGTGCTTCAGGTCGTTATCATGTAAGAAAGTGAAATTCCTCTTCATCTTCAGCTTTCTGAGGCCAGCAGGTTTAGTGCCAAAATATTTTGATATTTGGAGTTAAACATTATCCCATCTATCTTGACTAGAGCCCCTGTCCCAGCTGAAGAGAAGCAGCCCCAAAGCATGATGCTGACACCACCATGCTTCACAGTAGGTATGGTGTTCTTTGGATGATGAGCTGTGTTGTCTTTGCACCAAACATATTTTTTAAAATCAAGGCCAAAAAGTTCACCCTTTGTCTCATCAGACCATAAGACATTTTCCAACATGTTTTAGGGTGATCGAATGTATTTTTTTGCTAAATTTATGCGGGTTTGGGTGTTCTTTTTTGTGAGAAATGGCTTCCGTCTTGCCACCCTACCCCATAGCCCAGACATGTGCAGAATACGGGAGATTGCGGTCACATGCAAGGAGTGACAAGTACCTGCCAGAAATTCCTGCATCTCCTTTAATGTTGCTGTAGGCCTCTTGGTAGCCGCCCTGATAAGTTTTCTCCTTGTCCTGTCATCAGCTTTGGAGGGTTGTCCGGATCTTGTCAATGTCCCTGTGGTGCCACATTTTCTCCACTTCATGTGTGAACACGGAAAGAGTAGCCATACGGAAGAAGTTAATCCGGATCTTAACGTTCTGTGTATTGTTGAACACTATGCTTTTGATTTTTCTTTTTTTTTTCCTTCATAACGAGCTGTGGTTTTATGATCCTATGGTCCTGATCTTGTCAATGTCCCTGTGGTGCCACATTTTCTCCACTTATTGATGACAGTCTTCACAGTGCTCCATGGTACATCCAATGCCTTTGATATTCATTTATACCCCTCTCCTGATCAGTACCTTTCAACAATAAGATCCCGTAGCTGTTTTGTCAGCTCCTTGCAGACCATGGCTATCCTAGTAGGATGCAACCTACTGATGCAACGTTTCAAGGAAATCCTACAGAAACAGCTGATTTTTATTTGGGGTTAATCGTTGATGACAGGTATATGCTGCTTACCTTTGGATATAAATTTTGAATGTGATTGGTTAACTCTGAACACAGCCACAGACCCATTATAAAAGGGTGCAAAGGAACAAGTAATAGGTTTATTCCATGCTGAAAACATGGTGACACCTGAAGAAGGCTCCACGGCCGAAACGTTGTGTTCTCTTTCTTCTCTTTTTTTTCAGCATGGAATAAACCTATTACTTGTTCCTTTGCAGCCTACGCATGCTGACGCAGCTACCCACCTGAACTTATAAATGGGTGTGCACACTTATGCAATCAGGGCGTTGTAGGTTTTCAGTTCTTTTTCCTAATAATTATCTATTTGTTTTTCTCTTGAATTTTGTTGGTTGCAAGGTCACATTAAAGATGGAAAAATGTCTGACATTATTTATCTTGATTTCTGGCTTTACATCACAAAAACCTGCAATTTCAATAAGGCCGTGTAGACTTTTTATATCCACTGTATGTCAGTACGTCTTTACACTGTCTCTCGGTTTGTCTGTCAAGAGCAATTCTACTGTATGATGTTAGACTTTTACTAAGTGCATTGGCCCAACACAGTACAAAAGTTGTGCTGGTGGTAATTAAAGTTTTATCCACATTACAATGCAAGAGTTAGTACTAAACTTCTGATATTCTAGGTGGAACGTGAGAATTGCTGACTGTTTTAGGAGGAGTGCTTTGAATGAACAGACCATTTAGCAGGAGATTATAAGCCACCACCCAAACCCGCATCCAATTTGCTAAAAATTAATTATATGAAACGATTTGGCTGTAGGGCTGGAATTCCTTCCATTGTGCTGCAAACAGCTATTCGGTTTTACCTAAAATCTGTTGGCCCTATGTGTTTGTTTAAAATGGCTGAAAAGTGACTTCACTGTGGCCAGGACACCCTTGTAAAAGAGACTTAATTACAAGACCGTCCTCTCTCTCCTGTCTGGGTGTCCTCTCTCTCCTGTCTGGGTGAGCGGACTAGAGGCGTCAGACGCCCCGGGGGTCTGGGTGGAGTGTGGGAAGGGCATGGCCCTCGTCGGGTCGCGGGAGGGAGGGGGAACTGACCGGCGGGGCTCCAGCGTCTGCACGTCGATGATCTTCTCGAAGGACATGACGAACGTCTCCAGCCACTGCTGCAGGTAGCCCACATCTTTCTGGGGGGGAGAGACAGGGTGGGGGGGTTAGGCACCACGCACACTGCACACAAAGAGCAGGTAACTATAGAAACAAATACCAACAAATGTGCGTCCTTGGTGTGAGAACTTAAGAACTCTCCAAAAGAGGCGGAACAGCCACAGTTTCTACGGTACATACCCACTAAGTCCATTTTGTGAGCAAATGTACCCAATTTTGCTGTTCAAATCAATTTGAACTAGATTATGGAGATTTAGGTTTAAAAGCTTCTCTACACTGAGATGGACTGGGGTGTGCTGGTGTTAACTCTGGTACCTGATCATTTATTGAAAATCGACTATACACGTAGTACACCTCTTAAATCTGCTTTAACTGTGCTTCAGAAAAATCAAAAACAATCTTCTTCAGCATAAGAGAGCCAACTAGGAGAAAAAACAACTGAAAAGCCATGAAAGAAGGGATGATTGCTCTGTTAACATGTGCCGATGTTTGCTGGACTGTTTCAGTAGCAGGGACAGAGCTCTGTCAGGATCTGAAAAAACTAGGAGCTGTTTAAAACACAGTGCCTAGTCCGATCTGGGAAGCACAGTCAGGTCATTTTCCAAAGAGTTCAATTATTTACTTGAGTGCTTCTGTGGACCAAAATCTAGCAGGCGTCTGGGTCCGCAGGAGGAGGATTGGGAAACCTTCATCTAGAGCACAGATCTCTGCAGCATTAAGACGAGTAGCCATGGCAAGAGATTATTCAACTACAACAAAACGCTACACACAAAACAGCAGAGAGTTAGATAAACACTAACACGTCGGGCTTAGCCTTTTGCACTGCCCTGTTCTATTCGGTGTGGCGCCTCTCATTTTAGTGTGGCAGGGCCGTGAAATAAACAAGTGGCTCATTCTGACAATCAGGTGGAGGAACTACAGCACAACTGGTACATGATAAATGAAGGCCACTTCGAGCACTGTTTTCTTCAGCTTCTAGTGCAGGCACATTGTAGCATAGACATGACACTTCACAGCTTCCTCACCAAACTCTGGGACAATGATAAGAGCCACAGCTCTGGCAGCAGCCCAAGTTCCTCATATTCACATTATGACTCAGAACAATACCGTAGTGAACCAATATTATGTTAGGCAAGAAAGGAAGCTGTAAAAAATAATAACAACGACCTACTGCTCTAAAAAACACATGCTCCTGGAGATATAGGCCTATAGCCTCATCCGTAAATAGCCTTAAGTGGATAAAATAATTTGTCTACTTTTCTCTATGTGCTTGCTGGAATAAGCTCCAGCTCTCCCGCAACTCTGTATTGAATAAAGCGGTAAGAAAGTAGATGGATGTTCTCCATGTGTGTTTTACAAAACATCACTGAACTACAGTGTTCTATTCTGGAACAGTCGGAGCAGTTTCAAGAGAGAGATGTTCTACCGTGAAATGTTGAGTATACTGTGCTGAACAAACACAAACCCTCCTCCCAACAAAGGCCTGATGTGTGGCAGCTGCTGAAGACCCTGAGGGCTGGTCCATACAAGATGTCAGCCAGGCTCTAGTCTAGCTCTGCTGTGCACACCAAGAGGGGGAAAAAGTTACCAGCCAGGGAGGAATAAATCCTTCTCAAGGGAAAGCAGAACAACACAGGCCTCTGTCTGTGCCTTCATGTAGCTTCTATCAATCAACACAATCTACAGTTAATTCCCAGGCAAACCTTTGGATGCAATGCAATACTATCCAGAGACAAAGTATAAAGAGCGTTCCTTTAGAGTATAATGCTTTAGACCTTTACTATACACTAGGCTTTGTGTTAGTCTTGTTAATAAATAATAGCCTTATAACACAAATTCAATGAGTTGAAGTGTGTGGGCAGAACACATGCTGAACACTTCCTATGAACTGAACACTATTCTTGAACACTATTTTTGAACAGAGAAGGTCTCTAGCGGACCGGATACAAGTGTTGAAAATGCACACAGGCATCAGCAAAGTCAACCTTGGACACTTCTCCACAGTGAACAGTGAAACACAAATGCAAACTACGCAGAAGTGCACTTAAAACCAAGCAGAAGGCACTTTACCCAAGGATTGTGGGAGTATGGATCATGGCTACCCAGACATGTTGCTGAAGCTGATATCCTGGTCTCTTTCAAGAAACAACTGGATGAGATGCTTGCATCAACTAACTGCTAACTACCAAATGGATAAGTTAGGTGAGAAGGGCTCCACTTGTCTGTTAGGTTTAAGCAAGGTGTTTCATACACAGTGGATCCATGAAACCAATGTCTAGTTATTGGTGCTTTTGTAGAGTAAGAGGATACAATCATGGCTCCTCACTTCCCAGCATTCTCAATAGCACTCATGTCTCCTGTGACAGGAGGCTGCTCTTTCAGAGTGGCGAGTTGTCTGCTGTGTGGGTGGTAGCTGTCCGACACTCATAAGACACACCAAATCAAATTGTGGGTCAGACTGCACATACTACTGTACATGCCTTGAACTTTGCCCCGTGCAATATGAAGCATGCAAATTACCTTCAGGTGTAAAAGTGATCAAATGTGATGTCCTACTGACAGAACCAACATATCTAGACCCTGATATGTCTCTACGCACAGAACAACCTCCTATTCCTTCTCTCTGCTCCACACACTGAAAGTCGCTTCACTACTGGATTTTGCTCCCTTTCTAATGAATAATAAGCAGTTTTGATGCCTGGTCTTGTCCAGTGTCCAAAGCTTCATGATTGTATCCTGTCAAACTAGATACCCTGTACTACAATTTAGGTCATCCCAGGACAATTCTGCTTGCTCCAAACACAGTGCCATCTCAGAATGAATGGAAGTCATTATCATCAAGAACTTCATATTTCCAGTAAAAATAAAATTCAAATTGCTGTTTGCTGGGACCCACTAGGCTCACCGATATGCAAACTGGTATATTTCAGCCTTTGTTTGAAGCGACAAAGAAAGTTTGGGTGACTTTCTGTTAAAAACGAACTGGCCATTTAAATTCAATGAGCTGTTTCTGCTTGACATTCAGAGTGAGCGATCTGTAATCTGGAATTCAGAGAAACAGCAGCTTTGAAAAGAGAGCTGGATCCACTCTTAGGAGGGGATTGGAAGATCTTGACAATGCAGTTTCGTTCACCATTCATTGATTCCATGAAACACAAAAACAAGATCACAAACTCTGGTTTCTGCAGAACTCTCATACCCAGAACGTTCTGAAATTCAACTTGAGAAAAACAAATGTCACTCAGCTGTTCGGCGGCTAGAAGCCACTGTTCTCAATTGCGAATGTCAAGCACTGGGATCTTAACCTACTTTCTCACTGCTTTAGTCATACGTGGGGTATCTTGTGATCTGTGTGATGTAATCTAGACATTGGATGCTAAGATCTGTTGGGAGCTATTATCTGTGAGAGAGTACATATACAATACATATAAGACACATACAAACATACAAAAGCCTACCACTAATACAGGTGAGGAGATGTCACCCTGTCACCATCATTAAAGTTTCACTGCATAGAACATCTCATGTTTCACGTTTCACAACAACCTGCCACAGTGATCAGCGCTGACAACTATATGAACGTCATTCTTTTCAGTCCATCTAACTGGGTCATCAGGGCTCGCAGACGCAGGTTAACTGTTGAGGAAGCGGAGGCCTTCAAGAGACGCCTGAAAAGGGCCTTGAATTGATCAATGTTTGAGCAATGAAATCAGCCAGACTAGGCCAAATGCACCTCCTGCTGCTTGTAACTTGTCTTACATCATTACATGCCAGGGTGACCTCTACTCGAACCAATGAGCGATGCTCACGCCAGGAAGAAATGAGAAGTGGTGCTACAAAAGGAAGCACATCAGATTCATGCACCAAATTCAACACAAAGAGGTACTGAAAAACTAAACTCCATTCCTTCACTCAAACCAGGAATTCATAGAGATACTGAGTTTGAAGACTAGCTTTTAGATCAGAATTGAGACCCTAATGACCTGCCACACGTTCCTGAAGTGACGGCAAAAAAGTAATTCATCTGTTAATTTATTTAATAAGAGACGCTGCAGATTTAACCATTGATGAGAGAAACAGAATGATGTTTTTTGGACTCCAAAGATAAATCTGTGAGAGGAAACAGTATGTAGAAGAAGTGAAGAGAAAAATTCCATGTATGTCCAGAGATTGGGTCCACAACCCAGACAGCCGTCTCTGAGGATGAGTGCTCCCACACAGATTACAACACCAAACAGAATGCCCAACAACGGTGGAGCCTCTCAATACGAAGTTATGGTCTCTCGCACAAACAAGCCAGGTACAGTAAGTCTACCTACAGGATGAATCCATCGAATCGACACAGAATTGAAAACAACAGCAACCTTCCGAGGCAGCTACAAAGTCAAACTCGGTCCGTGCATGTTTGCAGGTCTTTATTAATTTAAGATCATTAATTTTCTTGGTACAAAGCCTGCAGGATCCTTTGACCTGTGAGCTATTGTGTATCCGCGCTATAATGCACAAGCTGTTTGTCTGAGTGGTTCAGCATGTTCCTGTCTCTCTCTCTGCATTTCTGGTTCACATACACAGACAAGGATTTCTCAGCTTCTTATCAGCTGGTCCACGTCCGCATGTTCAAGCAGCTCCCCGAGTTCTGCACCTGTGAGCGTGCGAGGCCGAGTCTGGCGGCTCTGAGCGAGTTACCTGCAGCTGTGCGACGCCGGGCCAGTCCATGTCTTGGTGCTGGGGTGCAGCAGTCCCCGATCTCTGGGACAGTGTGTTGCGAGCGGCCACTTCCACAACACAGCGCGCCCCTGGAGCAGCGCCGTCTGACTGCGCTGCTCTCTCTCTTTCTCTACCAGGAAATGCCAAGTCACTTTAACCGAAACACACTTCCTCCACCTCGCAACAAAAACGCTTCAAACCCCTTCCTCTTTTCTCACTGTGCGTCTCTGTGTATGCGCGCGTGTCTGTGCATATCGGCCTCTCTCTCTCTCTCTTTCTTACTGGGCCGCAGGGGTATGAGCCACTTTCTGTG